CACTACACCCAGCTAATTTTTGTATTTTTTGTAGAGACGGGGTTTCACCATGTTGGTTAGTCAGGATGATCTCGATCTCTTGACCTCACGATCCGCCCGCCTCAGCCTCCCAAAGTGCTGGGATTACAGGCATGAGCCACCGCGCCAGGCCTCTGATTATTATTTCTGATTATTTCCTTAAGACAGCATCCTAGAAGTGAATTTGTAGGCCAAGGGATATGAACAGTTTTAAGGCTCTTGATTTGATATATTTTGTCTAATTGATTTCAAAAAAGATAAGAACTGGGACTTCATTTGAATACCACCTGTTCTGCACATGAAGAGTAAGTATTTTTGGTCTTGATCTATCTCAGATTAGATTCAAAATAGTATGAGCCCCAGAGAGATCTGAAGTTCTCAAGACTAAGCTCATGGAAGGCCAAGGAGATGGCTCAGGAAATCCCCTTGAAGAGAGTCCATAGTACTCTCATGGGTGGGACAATAAGATGTTTTATACGCTCTTGAGTATATAACCCTTTGAAAATATCACCCTTAGTAGATGAAGGGAGATTCCTGACTCATCCGTGTGGGCACATGAGCAGAGTTGGTTTTACAAACAGGAGGCAGATTTGCCCCGGGCAGGCAGCCTGAATGGAAGCACAGCCACTCACCATCGTTGCTGGATGAAGGGAGAAAGGAATAAGTGAGCACCTGGGACCCAGCCAAGCAGGCTGGCTCATCTGAGATGGTGCTCACGGCTTTGTCCCCTTGTGACCACTGTTCTAACCACCTAAGCCCAAAGTCCACGGGCCAGCATCAAAGGTAACCAAGGGTTTGAAGCCCACCCCCAGAGCCTGGTTGACTTGACACTTTCTGCAACATTTCAGGTTGGAGGAAAGATGGATGAGAACCGTTTTGTGGCCGTTACCAGTTCCAACGCGGCTAAGCTTCTGAACCTGTATCCCCGCAAGGGCCGCATCATCCCCGGAGCCGATGCTGATGTGGTGGTGTGGGACCCAGAAGCCACAAAGTAAAGTTTGTTGCTCATCTCCAGGGCTAGAGGGGCTCGGGGTGTTGAAGAGGACGTGCATTACCAATCTCCAAAAGCATATAACTTTGCACTATTTCTAGCACAAAATATGGCCCTGGCTTATAGTTGGCCGTCTTCTCCCTCCATCTTCACACAGTCTTTCTTCTGTGTCACACATGTCTGGTGTGTCTGTCTCCTCTTCTTATAAGGACACTGGTCAGATTGGATTAGGGCCCACCTATATGACCTCACTTTACCTTAATGATTCCATTAAAGGCCCTAAATAGGGCCATGTTCTGAGGTTCTGGGTGTTAGGATTTCAGCGGAAAAATTTTGAAGGAAGCCAATTCAGCCCATAACAACCAGCCTTTGGAGTTCACCCCTCCCATGGAGCTGTGACATTTTGACATGTCCTCAGCGCTTTCTCTCCCGCCATTGCCTCCCCACCAGGACCATCTCAGCCAGCACGCAGGTCCAGGGAGGAGACTTCAACCTGTACGAGAACATGCGCTGCCACGGAGTGCCACTGGTCACCATCAGCCGGGGGCGCGTCGTGTATGAGAACGGCGTCTTCATGTGCGCCGAGGGCACCGGCAAGTTCTGTCCCCTGAGGTCCTTCCCAGACACTGTCTACAAGAAGCTGGTCCAGAGAGAGAAGGTGAGGTGGGAGGGGGAAGATGCAGGGGTGTTGGCGCCCCCTGCCGGGGAACATCCTCCATGACTGTTTTAAATCTCAAAGAGATGTTCACTCCAGTTTTCGACCCAATTCCATTGCCCTCTCTCCAGCGTTGAGAGGGGAGTGTGTGGCAGGGCCAGGGAACGCTAGAGTCAGAAAATGCTGATTTCTGTTCCCCGTCTTTGATTACCAAGTGGCATTTTAAGTGGTCAGGCAGCAGGGGTCCTCAGTTGCTGAGGGCACAAATGGGAAATGTGAGTGTGTGCGACCGCTGAGCTCCTCCGGATAAGCAGGCTTGGGTTGGAGGAGGTGCTGGGGGCTGGAAATACTGCTTTGGCTTGGCCGCCTCCCACTCTTGATGAAGCAAGTGGGGGTCGAGCTGGCATTTGCAAAGCATTGTCTGAAGCACAGGAGGAACAGGCACCTGAACACGGGACGCCCACACTGCTGGCACACAGAACACACGAGAGGGCTCAGAGCTTTCAGAGAAACTAAGGACCCTTCCCTCCCAGAGGCCAGTGAGCGAAGAAATCCACTGCCAGGTCTGCCGTGGGGGCGCAGGCTTGGGCTGCCTGAGTGAAGAAAGCGTGACTTTCGTGATCACAGGGCTAAATCTGAAAGCAAACTCGGGGTCTCTCACTCATCACACTCAGCTAATGTTTATTTTTTTGTAGAGACGGACAGGGTTTAACCGTGTTGCTCAGGTTGCTTTCAAATTCCTGGGCTCAAGTGATCTGCCCGCCTCGGCCTCCTAAAGTGCTGGGGTTACAGGCGTGAGCCACTGCGCCCAGCCCAATAGCACTTTTTAATACGATGTAGGACCATAAATGACCTCTGTAGTAATAACTGCTCCTACTTCTATGTTGCCTCTCATGTGCCAAAGCAGTTGGAACAGCTTTACACATACTAATTCATCTGCTCTCCGGCAACTCTCTGATGTAGGTACTAGTATTGTGGGCACAGAAAAGTAAGTTGCACAAAGCCACACAGTTTACAAGTGACAGAGCTGGGACTGGAACTTGGCAGTCTGGTTATAGAATATAGACTCCTAACTCTACTGCCTTTGTGAGTACCGAATGAGCTAGTGTTGCTACTGGGGGCCTCTGGTCTCCAGATGGGGCTGTGTTTAGCTTCTGTTCTCTCCGAGTTGTCAGACCGGTAAAGGGTGTAGTTGCGTGGAAGCCTAAGGTGGTGGGTAATGTTGTGCTGTGTGGGAGGGAACTCTCTAAAGTTGATTTCCGGTTGGGCGCGGTGGTTCACGCCTGTAATCCCAGCACTTTGGGAGACTGAGGCGGGTGGATCACGAGGTCAGGAGTTCAAGACCAGCTG